TTTTCAATCTAGATTTTTTGTGGAAGTTCTTTTGAAAAGTCAATTTCAATACATATGCGGGTAGTAGAGGGTCTTGAGTAGTTGGCAGTTGGGGCGACAATTGTAATAGGTGTCCCCTGAAGGCCGACAATAGGACTAAAAAGTTTGAAAATTCCAAAATAGGACTGTCATGGTTTTATTCCCAAAATAGGACTAATTACTGCCAAATTTGGAAAATACTGCCATGTTTGAAGTCTGGTACTGCCAAAACATGGCAGTAATTAGTCCTATTTTGGGAATAAAAACATGGAAGTCTTATTTTGGAATTTTCAAACTTTTTTAGTCCCATTTTGGGTAATATCTCTATAATATAGGGCCATAACATCATGTAGGTGATGAACTGAGGGCTATCTATACGAGTGAAAGGGGAGAATTACGGTCGCCAGAGAACGAAGGTGTCCATCTGGTGACATTCAGCATCTTGAATACAAAAAAAATTATCCCAGAATATTTGGAAATCAATATCGAATTTGAAATTAATCAAAATTATATGCGATTTGAGTAGGCCGACAGTGAAGGGTTCGAAGAACCCTAGCACATCAAAGGCTTTTCGAAATCACAGAGAGAGGGGCAGCCATTAGGGAAGGTACCCATAAGGGCGAATCGAAAAATAGAAGCGTAAACCTGGATATCATCCTTGGTGAAAGAGGTTGTTGGGAATCCACTAAAAGCATCGTGCAGTTTGGCTGGGAGCTCCTGGAGGTAACGTCAGAGAATGAGTGAGTTTGAGTGTGATGGAGGTGGCCAGGGAAGAACTCCCTTGTCACATCAATGTCAAGTTGGAAACAAAGGGTACCGACATAGTGAGAAGGCAGAGCACATTTTTGCCTGATTGACTTCTAAATTAATCAAGGGTTAAATTTATATAAATATGCACATAATGAGTAGGGTTGCGAAGTAGGAGTTTCAAAACCGATGTGACCTGTCCCGATGGACATAAAAGTTTTCATAGGTCAAATTATGTGGTTTGGTTTAGTGTGTTTAAATCTCATTCGGTCTGATAGGCATATGTTCTATGTGTATTTTATAACTGTCTAAGCATGATTTAGTCTGATTTTATCTGGTTTGGGACAAAACTAAGTCCAATTCCCCGCAAGATATATAACCTTTTAGAATTCATTATGGTAACCTTCAGGTAAGGAACACGCTAAGTTGAAATTTCAAGATGAAATTTCCTTAAGTGGGGGAGAATTTTAATACCCTAAAAACCGGTCTAGTGTCGAAAATGTGTTTACTTTGAGAATATTTTGAATTTTAAATTAAACTATTTTGTTTTATATTAGGTGGTTATTTATCTATGTAATCATGAGTGAGCAAGAACATATAAGGCTCAATGGTAAGTGAAAGTAATAAAGGGAAGACACTAAGTAGAAATTTTGAATTCCAATCCTCCTTTGAGCTTTTCTTTTTGCTTCAAGATAACTTTTAAATGTGAAAAGATTCTCTCTTTTTCACCAAAAAATCATATCAACATCATCCTTAAGATGAGATTAAATTTTCAAACCTTTCACATTCCCTAACCTTCTATATTTAAGCATGTGTCACCTTCTTTTATCGTGATTGTTCATATACTTTCCATTTACCTTTCCCACAACCTTAGAGCATTAGAGAGACAATATAGGTCTTTGATTATGGAAAAATAAGATAGGGAAGCCTTGGAATTCATCCATCATGCACTACACACTCAATACGAATTTCCTTGAATTTGGTTATGTGTCGGGTGTTCAAATTTTCCTTGATGATTATGAGTTCATTTTTGTATTTTATGGTGTTAAAATCTCACTTACCCCCACCATAGGAGCCTTTGCGGGACTGGGGTGATGGTGTTGATGATGTTAAAATCTCATTTTCAATGCATGTATAATCGTTGATCTAAATGTCAATGATTTAGAGTAGGAATTCTATCAATACTTATTTGATAATATATTAGTGTCCTCATTTGATAATAAGAAACTTACATAGTACAAAACCTTTGGAAACAAGTGTCGTAAATCACTTTCATTTATACCATTAACTATATTTGATTCAAAATATGACTCGAACAGACATCATGTCCGCATGATTCACATGTTGATAAATTTTTATAACTTTGCCACATTGCTGTTGTGTGTGATAATACTTCAAAATTTAAATTGCATATGATAATTCTGCATGCTATTACATCTTGTGAAATACATGTTTTATAACGCATTGGTTTCATAACAGTACCCATGTGAATTGATGAAGTTAGTAGTAATAAAAGTATAAAACTCACATGTATGATATGATAAATTCTTTGGGTTCAAATTTGTTTGAGCTTGATTTTTTTTTTTGCATGGGGATTTTCCACAATCCGGCCAGTGAGTTTGAGATTTCCATTTCGGAGGGTTTGTTTCTAGTCAATATTGAACACTCTCCCTATTTTGACAATTTAAAGCTGACTTCTTTGGATGACACTCAAAATTCTATGTCTACTAATGAACCCAATACATTTGCAAATCTTAAGAATTTCTTCCAGTCTACTTTATCAAATGGATTAAATGTGTTTCTCATTTTCTGATCAATGAATTTGAGAGACCCCTGTCTTCTTCTTTGGATAATCGTAATCTGATACTAGGACCACATGATGAAAGAAAGACTACATGAACAAAGACTACTACGAAGAGGGATGATCAAGATAAGCTTAGATTTCTGGAGTCAGATGTTTTGGGTACTCAATCTAATGCATTCACCTGGGATGAATTTTATGGCGATCCGTGCTCTTCTTTTTCGGGGGATGGTATTGTTGGTCATGTCTTAGAGAATGAGAAGAGAATTCCTATCTTGACAGCGAAGGATCTATGAGATTCTCATGCAAATTAAAATCGGGATATGTGTTCCAAAGCGTTTCTCATCACGTGAGAAATGGGCTATCCAAATCTAAGAAACAATGCTCACATCACATGAGGACGAGATCTCAAACATATGAGGAGATTTGAAGATTTGATTGAGGTCTAATACTAGGGAGAGTGTACCGGTGCTGCTTTGGGCTCTCTTTTCTTTTTGTTTGTTGTTTGTATTCCTTCATGTTTCCTTTTGTGTTTCCTCCTTTTTTGTACTTCGACATGCTTATTTTAATAAAACATTTCATTCTTTAAAAAAACATTTAAAGCCCGTGAGTAATTGTTGGGTTAAAACCATGTGATTTAACTTAGCAATTGTGTGAATATATGTTTGATAGTTTTAATTTCTTTTGTTATGAGTTATACTCTCTTCGTCCCATTAAGTCCACTTACCATTTTGGGATGTCCCAAAAAAAATCTCATTTTCCCTTTTGGAAAGTTTTGTGTGGCAAACATTCATTTACTTTTTTCTTACTCAACCACAAACATACATTTTCATTTTGTTGTCACTTTCTTAAACTGCGATCCAAGTCAAAGAGGGAAAAATGTTATGGCTCGAAGGGATCAAAGTACAATATTAGAGACATCTTCCATTATGATATTGCACCATATTCAGTGTCTGTCTACTACTACCCTCTGGACTTGTGTTTTAAAATATGTTTTATGTTTGATTATTTTTTACACGTTATAGATAAGAACACGTACACTCGATTTGTGTACAAATTCATATGTTTGATCTATTAGAATGTTTTCATATGATATAATTTGAATATATGCTATATTAGTGCTTTTTATTATGTATCTTGATGTTAATGAATCCATGTTCAATCTTTATTTAGCCGTTATTTGTAATCAATTGAACGAATGGTGTACCAATTACAACAGTAGCATAACTTGATCAACTACTCTTATTTGTATTGTCCTCCTTGAGTTGTTTATGGTAGATTCTATGGTACCCAAAAGGTACCATACCTTTGTCCACATGGACCAATGACAATGTAGCAGTGAAATTATTTAAATCTAAATTAAAAATGATAAAGTGATGTGGTCCAATCAAATAAATTGTAAGTACGGTACCCCATTTTTTAGAAGGGTACCAGAGTTGTCACCTTTGTTTATAATACAATGTGTATTATCTATGACATTTCATGTGTTTTATTCTTTAGAAATGTGTGTTTAATTAAGGTCAACAATCATTAAATTTTATAGTTATCGGATTATCTAAATGGTCATCAGGAACATGGTAAAACTAGTATTGATATCGAGTGTGGTTTTATTGATGAGCCATACATGAACTAACTCTAGTTAGGTAATAGCAAGATGGTGAGTTTATGTATGACTAAAAATGTACTCCGTTTTTTTACGTATATTTTAATATTTAAAACAAATAGGAAGAGTAGCATGCAAATGGTCAATGAATTAAAATGATCTTAATTAAGGCCCGTTTATTGTAGTGTTTTGATCAATTTTGGATATGATAGACTATATTTGACTATCGTTTGACTAGTTTGGCCTCGTTTGATCATATTTGACTATGTTTAGCCACTTTTAAATATGTTTGATATTGTTTAAATTAAGTTGACTCTGATGAGTCTGTATTGCTCATTTAAAAATTTAAATTGTGTTAATATTCTAATTCATATATGAGATGTGATAATAACACTTTAACTTTTTATTAAAAAAAATAATAACGAGTTTTGTAAAGTCTCCTTTGAATTTGGTACTAGCAAACTATGATTAGACCTAGGTACTAGAATTTAATAATTTTGTAACAAATCGTCAGACATAGTGCTAAGTCTACATTAATCGAGACATTGCGTACAAAGTGTTTTGGAATTAGTATTTCTGAAATTCAATTTTAGTACAAAGCGTTTCAGCATTAGTACTTCTGAAAATTCTGTTTTAGTACAAAGTGTCTTGGCATTAGTTCTTCTGTCAAATTCTTTTTTCGGGAGTCGTGCAACTTCAGTGATTATGATATCTTTCTGGACATGCTAGCGTGAATTTTATACCCCGGTGATAACGTATCCTTGTCTTCTGTTTCTAGTCTTGGTCTGAACTTGTGAGAAATAGCTTATAAACTTTGTAGTTTTATATAATATGAATCTTCACTCTACTGAATTATAATAGATGTACAAAGACCCTATATATATACAGGGAGAATCCTCTTCAGAAGGAAACTCTATTCTCAGGAAACTAAATCTCACAGAATATGGAATCTAGATCTGAAAGAATAAGGAAACTAGATCCCTGAGAATAAGGAAACAAAATCAAAGATAATTACACATTATTTGACAGAATATCTATCTAAATCTACACTCCCCCTCAAGTTGGGAGTATATATGTCAACTAAACCCAACTTGCTCACAATCCCATCAAAGCTAGGTTTGAATAGTCCTTTGGTGAGGATGTCTGCCACTTGTTGTGAAGTTGGAACATATGGTATGCATAAACTACTATTTTCTATCTTCTCTTTGATGAAGTGTCTATCAACTTCCACGTGTTTAGTCCTATCATGTTGTACAGGATTGTTTGCAATGCTGATGGCAGCCTTGTTGTCGCAATACAATTTTATAGGACATTCTAGAGGTAGATGGAGTTCCTTTAGTACTTGATTGAGCCAAATTCCTTCACAAATCCCGTTAGCCATAGCACGAAATTCTGCTTCAGCACTACTGCGAGCCACCACAGTTTGCTTCTTGCTGCGCCAAGTCACTAAATTTCCCCATACAAATGTGCAATATCCACTTCTTGATCTCCTGTCTGTGGTCGAGCCTGCCCAATCTGCATCAGTAAAAATTTCAACAGTTCTTTGAGCACTCTTCTCAAAAAATAATCCCTTTCCTGGAGATCCCTTAAGATATCTGAGAATACGGTATGCTGCATCCAAATGAGCTTGCTTAGGAGAATGCATAAACTGGGAGATGAGGCTAACACCAAAAGCAATATCAGGTCTTGTGTGTGATAAATATATCAGCTTCCCAACCAATCTTTGATACCTCCCCACATCAACTTCACACCTCCAATACCACAGAGTTTCTCATTTGGATCTATCGGCGTATCAACTGGTTTACAACCAGTCATGTGTGTATCAGAGAGTAAGTCCAGAATATATTTTTGTTGACTTGCAACAATTCCCTTCTTCGATCTCGCCACTTCCATTCCCAAGAAATACTTTAGTGGCCCCAAGTCTTTAATCTCAAATGCCGTGCTAGACTTCCCTTCAAATCATTAATTTCTTCAAAATCATCACCTGTGACAATGATATCGTCAACATATACTAGTAAAACAGTAATTTTCCCATTTCCTTTGCGTTTAAAGAATAAGGTGTGATCACTTTGTCCTTGGGAATATCCCTGCTGTTTAACAGAGCTTGTAAATCTTTCGAACCAAGCTCGAGGTGATTGCTTTAAGCCATAGAGGGCCTTCTTTAAGAGACACACTTGAGATCCAAACTCATTTTCAAAACCAGGAGGAACATGCATATAAACCTCCTCTGCAAGCTTCCCATTCAGGAATGCATTTTTTACATCTAATTGATGTAATGGCCAATCTAAGTTCACAGCAACTGATAGTAGGACTCTAACCGTATTGAGCTTCGCCACTGGGGCAAAGGTTTCTGTGTAGTCAATACCATAAGTTTGAGTGAACCCCTTTGCTACCAGTCTCGCTTTATACCTCTCAAGTGTTCCATCAGAGTTGTATTTGACTGTGAACAACCATTTACATCCCACTAATTTTTTCCCATCTGGAAGAGCAACTTTAACCCATGTCTGATTCTTCTTAAGAGCATTCATTTCCTCCAGAACTGTTGCCTTCCACTCAGGAATTTGTAAAGCTACTTGTATAGATTTTGGGAACTCCACACGATTAAGATGAGAGGTGAAACAAGAAAAAGAAGGAGACAGATTCTAAAGAGACACATAATTAGACATAGGATATTTAATAGTGCATTTTCTCACTCCTTTTCTAAGGGCAACATGCATATCAACTTCAGAAGGATTGAGATTAGAATCAAGAGTTAATGGAATTGGATCAGGAGAAACTTTACCTGTCTGTGGGGATTCGTCTTGGTTGTGCATGGGAATGTTTGGCTGTACACCCTTCGGTGGACGTTTTCTAGAGCATGTTTGTCCAAATCTCTTGTCATATATTGAAGTATGTTGTAAATCATCAGGACTTTTAGTTATGGCAGATTCATGAGGGGTGATTTCATTTGAAATATCATTATCTAAGTTAAGATTCAAAAAATCTAAATCACCTACACTCACTGAAGCTTCTTGACTCCCCCTACATAAAGGCTCCCCCTGAAGCTGAAGTTGAGGGGAAAAGAACGGTGATCTCTCAAAGAAATTGCAATCCATGGAGACAAAATATTTTTTTGAGACCGGGTCATAACATTTATAGCCTTTTTGAGAGGCTGAATATCCAAGAAAAATGCATTTTATTGCACGCGGATCAAGTTTAGACTTAGTTTTATCCCGATTAGACACAAACACAGTGCAGCCGAATATTTTGAAGGGTAAATTTACAAACGGTTTAAGATCACAATTAAACTCATGAATTTTTTGGATAGGAGTTTGAAAAGATAAAGGTTTAGAGGGCATGCGATTAATCAAGTAAACAGCAGTTAAAAGGGCATCTCCCCAAAAATATTTAGGAACATGATTAGCTAGTAATAATGCTCGTGTGATTTCAAGTAGGTGTCTATTTTTCCTTTCCGCCACACCATTTTGTTGTGGCGTATCAACACATGAGCTTTGTTGGATCATTCCCTTTTCATTGAAAAACTGAGTCAGGGTATTAGAAAAATACTCCCGACCATTGTCACTACGAAATATTTTAATCTTCTCATTAAATTGAACTTGGACCATGTTGTAGAATTTTCTGAAAATATCGACTACTTCATGTTTGTCTTTCATCAGAAATAACCAAGTAAGACACGTATGATCGTCAATAAAAGTGACAAACCACCTTTTACCAGAAGAAGTAGGGATCCTAGATGGACCCCAAATATCACTATGAATTAATTGAAAGGGTTTAGAGGGAATATAAATACGAGAAGGATAAGAAGACTTGTGATGTTTAGCTAAAGCACACGCTTCACATTTAAAAAAAGATGGATCTTTATTGATGAATACTCAGGTAACAATCGTTTCAAATAAAAAAAACTAGGATGACCCATACGAAAATGCCATAACATAATATCTTGATCAGTAGACACAGACTCTAATTTATGAGGAGATTCTTGGGCAACCATACTTGAAGGCAGTCCATCTTCAAGATAATACAGCCCGTCGCACTCCCTAGCACTGCCAATCATCCTCCCCGAGTTCAGGTCCTGGAAATAGCACATAGAGGGTGAGAAAATAGCTAGACAATTTAGCTCACAGGTTATTTTGCTAATGGATAGCAAGCTACATGACAATTTAGGGACATGAAAAACTTTAGAAAGAGTGATAGGTGGAGAAATTTGAATTGTCCCTCTGCTAGCAATTGCAGCAAGAGAGCCATTAGCAATTTTCACTTTGTTATTCCCTGCTGCAGGTTCATAGGAAGAAAATAATTGCGAACAATGTGTCATATGATTCGTAGCCCCAGAATCAATGATCCAAGAACTCGAAGGAGTGGAGCAAACAAAAGCGGAAGGAATACCTTTCTGGGCTGGAGCAGGGGAAGAAGATGAATTAAGTGTGAATTGTGGAGAGTTAAAAAGCTTATACAGGTGCTGTAGTTGTTCCTGAGTGAAAGGTAGTGGTTCTGGAGAAGCTGTTTTTTCTTCAGAAGTTTCAGCCATGGCAATAGTAGCTCTCCCGTCCCCCTTCTTTTTTGTAGACGATGGTTTCCCATGAAGCTTGTAGTATTTATCCTTTGTGTGCCACAACTTCCCACAGAAATCACAAGAGAATGGCGTTTTCTTGTCACCTGCACCATTAAAACGCTTTGAAACCAAAGTCATGTTGTCGCTCTCTGGAATTGAGGGAGCATGGTCATACATCACCCTTTTTCGTGCCTCTTCCTGGCGAAGTTCAGAAAAAACAGTCCTGACCGTTGGTAGGGGCTTACGGCCAAGAACTCTTCCTTTAGTTTCGTCAAAACTGTGATTTGCGCCAGCAAGAAACATGAAGACACGATCATCTTCCTCTCTGCGTTTTGCACGTACAAGATCTTTTGGATTTTCCCAAACGTCATCATTATAGCATAAATCCAACTCCTGCCACAGAGAGAGCATCTCATTGAAATAAGTAGTGATGTCTCTGTCACCTTGTTTAGAGAGCCAAAGTTTTTTCTTCAACTCAAATATTTGAGATGAATCGCCACGATTAGAGTATGCCTCACGAACAGCATCCCATATATCCTTAGGATCCATATACATGAACGGCCGACGGATCCGTTCGTCCATGGAATTGAGCAGCCAACCAGCAATCAGGGAGTTGGCAGATCGCCATCGCCGGAAAGAAGGGTCAGTTGGTATAACTAAGTGCTTTTTTAACACTTTTATCTTAGTGATCCGTTAGAGTATGCCTCACGAACAGCATCCCATATATCCTTAGGAGAGTCCATTAAAAAGTGCTTTTTTTTAATGAAATGGAGAGAAGTGATTAAATAAAAGTTGAAAGTGTTTGAGAAAAAAGTGATTTTGAAAAGTAAAAGTGGGTAGTGTTTGGTAAAATAAGTGCTTTTTGTGTAATAGAAAAAGTAAAAACACTTTTGACGCGGAAGCCGAGAAAAATAAAAGTTGCAGTGTTAGGGAAAATAAGTGCTTTTTTAAAGCCAAAAGTTGAGAAGTGCCTTTTTAAAAGCAATTGCAAACCAACCCTTACTAACACCTCTAAAAACTTTTAATTTTTCTCCCAAACAAGTGTTCAAATTAACACTCTTTAACATTCCATTACTAGCCCCTCCCAATACTCAATCCAAACATGCAGGCCGGAAGAGACGCAGACCAAAATCCCTATTACCGTTCTTCACCCTTCAGGTCAAACAATTTGGGAGAGTGCTGAGAAGCTTGTAGAGCGGTAACGAGATCAACTCCCTTCTTCGTACAGGGATTCCATGGCCGCGCGAAGATGGAGGATTATCGATCCCCAGCAACTCGTCTCCCGTATCCTCTTCTCAAACAGATAACAGAGCATCTCCCTGCCAAATTCTCAACCAGAAAGATTTTTTCTTCTTCTAAAAAATAATTAGGTAAATCTGACCAAGCCTACTGAGTTCAGTCATTAGATCGAATTTGTTACCTTTCTACTATGCTTAATTCGATCTAGTTTGTTACCTTTCTCTGCTTAAAATTTCTATTCGGCTATCACAGATTGCCTTTCTCTCCATCATTTTCTCTTCGTAAGTTCCGTTTTCTATCCATACTTTTTCGTTTGTTCAGGTTTGTTCAAGTTCTCGCTGATTTAGGTAAGCTTAATTTTTATTTTATTTTATGCACTTACATCAAATACTTTGATGTTGTGGTATCCCATGTTTCGGGATATGCACTTTGCTTGTAACATTGACTTGATATTTCTTTGGGTGTTAATATATACTTACATTTCATCCAAAAAAAAAAGAACCACATATGCATACATGGATCTTGCACACTCTACTAAATGATGTCAGGTGGTTGTTCAGGAGATATCATTGTTTCATCAAAGTGTAAGTATAGCAAGACCAATTATTAGTGGGAATTTTGATTTATGGTAAGTCAGTTGGTGATTTATGTGTGCATATACACACATGTGATATTTGTTTAGGTTGAACTTTGCTTACAGGAGCTGGAAAAACTGATACATGACCAAGAAACATTCTGAAGCTCTCTTTTGCAATAGTCACTACTAGAAAAATGGCTTACAGTGACACTATTATAGTGACACTTTCTAATAAAATGTCACCACTGACATCAAAGTGTCGCTGTTTTGTAACAAAAATGCATGAGTATCACTTAGTGACACTCCTACATTCTTTACGGAGTATAATTATAAAAGCGCGTCACTGTTCATATTAGTTATGGGCCGGCCCAGAGTTTATTATATGGAGTAATACACTTGATCTTTTTTTCTCTCCTGTTTCAGCTTTCCTTCAACTTTTCTTGGCCATGTCTTGTGACTGCATCTGCTCTACCATCTACAAGTACTTTCTTTCTGCGAATTGACTGCAGGTCATTACTCCTCCACCTTCTACCACTATTTCTGCATATGAGAAACTTCATATCCAATCGATGGCGTTTCCTCTGCTACGTGCGCATGTGATTGCCGGACCTGACAGGGATAGGGTCGTCGTTTCCTTTGCTAGGGTTCCTCACCAATTGGGGGCGGGGTCAACTGCTGGAGTACATATACGCCGACGGATGGTTGGCCTAGACAGTTGGATGATGTCGACACTCGTCTCCTCAGAACCCTCTCTCATCTTAACCCTATCCCCTTCTTGCATTCTCGGCCAGATATTTTCTCCCTGGTCAAGCAGTAGTCGCCTAAGCTCCCAACATTCTCAGTACCGAGCGAACTTTTAGGTATGTAATTGATTGAGATTTTATTCAATACCAGAGTCCACTACTGAGTGAACTGCTAGTTACATCTGAGATTCTCTTCATGTCTATGTTTGTAGTTATATCATTAACTCCTTGAATACTCTTCATGTCTACGTCTAAACGGTTTATTTGAGTTTGCTTTTATGTCTACTATGTTCTTATGCATATCACGTATTTGTTAAAATTCTTGAATAGTTTACACTAATGTTTGTTCGCATTTACTTTGGGAGCAGAGAAACTGGAAGTTATTAAGCTTACTATACAATGCCCTTTTAACATTTAATTGTTAAAATAATGGATAGCGGCTAGGCGGCTGCCCTCCGCCGGCTTCACGACTTCCTCCACCGTACCTCGTGACTTTTCTCCACAACCTGAGCAAGTGGATGGACTGCAGAAGAATGCATGGCTGCCTGCACGCTGGTATAGAGAATTGGAGTCCGTCCATGGACAATTAGTTGCTTGTATATATTTCTTCATGACATGAGATGTTGAAATTGTTGTTTATTGAGCTTCAGACCAATATGGGAAGGTGCTTACAGTGAATGTGATGATGATGATTTCAAATTGACAAGCAACTTGAAACTTTTTGTCTAGCTAGAGAACTGGGAGCAGATTGTTAGAACTTTTATTGTGGGTCAAGTTTGTCTGTAATGTCTTGTTTAAATAAAGTAGACTAGTTATACCATTTATGGTATTAGATTAGTATTTATTATGTAGCAAATAAGGTAAAGGGAATAAGGCCCAAAAAGGCCTTGGCCCAACTTCCAAGGTTTACCTAAATCGGTAACCTGTACAGCGCCTATAAATATGCGCCTTGTGTACAGGTACCGATATCGATCAA